GCCTGGATGAGGGGATCTATCAGGGAGCGACACACCAGCTTATGGGACACTGGGGGCAGGAGGAGAGATATAAAAGGCCTGCCCTTTCCAGCAATAAACAAGTCTGCCACACCTTGCCTAGTGCCTGCTTCCACCCAGCTCCTGTTGCATGTTTGTTGACTCTGCACCACTCACCCCCACCTCAGCCAGAACCTTCATTCCCTGCTGTCCCTCATGGGCTGGACCCACGAGGAAACCTGAAACAAATAACTGGTTGTCCCCCTTAGCTACAGGTGGGCACTACAATATTGGAGACCAAGATTTGAAGTCTTACATCTGAGCAGCACTTTCTGGGTAGGAACAAAATCATCACTGAGAAATAATTGTCTGAATAACTTTTTGTATAGACTTAAACCTAATGTCTGGGAACTGTAATCCCTTGAACTTTTTTTTTTGTCTTTTTGAGACAGGGTCTCCCTGTAGCCCTAGTTGTCCTGGAACTCTATGTAGACCAGGCTGGCCTTGAACTCACAGAGATCTGCCTGCCTCTGCCTCCTGAGTGCTGGGATTAAAGGAGGGGTCGCATGGGCTTGGGAGGAGCTCCTGAATCCTTTCTTTTACCAGTTCCATCTATGTGATGATAAGTCAAAGGTCCTGTTCAACCATGTCTGGCTTTACTTGGAAGCATGGATGAGGTGTTTCCTCTGAGTTCATTTGTAAATTTAATGTTATTGTGACTAAAATTTAAAAAGATGGAAGAAAGTATCCCATAGTTTGATTGAAACGTCCTTTCAGCCCAGTGTAGTTATCCATTTTATGACTTTTTGTTTTATTTATTTATTTATGACTTTTCCTTCTCTGTGGAGCTATATCCTTCTCAAAAAGGCTCTTTAAAAATATTCAAAAAATCAAACTATCAAGAAAACAATGGAAGAACATGATAAATTATGAATAATATAATAAAGTGCTTTTAAAATTATTTTTTAGCCAGGTGTGGTGGCTCACGCCTTTAATCCCAGCACTTGGGAGGCAGAGGCAGGCAGATCTCTGTGAGTTCAAGGTCAGCCCTGTCTACATAGTGAGTTCCAGGACAGCTGGGGCTACAGGGAGACCCTGTCTCAAAAAGAC